TAAGGGCTGCCTTCTTCTCTTTAAGAATGCGAGTTCCAACCAGTTTTTCCTGCAAGGAGTCCAGCTGAATACCACTCTTCCCGATGCCAGAGGTAAGACCCACACAACTCAGGTGCCCGTGCTGGGGCCGCGGAACACTCAGAGTCACATGCCTTTGCAGACCCTGCCTTCAGGGCCACCAACAACTCGCTGAGGGCCCTTCAGGCCACCGTCGGGAAGTCATACAGGTGCAACTCTGGGGAGCACGTCCAGGTCACACGGGCCTTTGCTGTCAACATGTTCAAGGTGTGGGTGCAGGCTTTCCACGTGGAAGGCGGCACGTTTGGGTCTGGTGAGTCGCGTGGTGGGGGGTGGGCCCGGCTGGCTGGGCCCAGCAGGCTGTGGTTCCGCGCGGGTGGGGGCAGGGTGGCCATGCCGGACTAGACTTAGTGCAGATCCCCTTTCCTCCACTGCCTTTCTTTGAAAGGCCCCAGCCCATTTATCGTGGCAATGTGGACACACACCACTTGAGCGGGTCACTTGTCTGAACCCGCATGGCTCCTCCCCGTGAGGGCAGGACAGAAGAGGGGGGCCCTGGCCACACCCCTAGCTGCCCAACTACTCCCAAGTGCTTGCTGCTGTCCAGGGGCTGCGGCAAGGGCAGGTGACGGGGATCACAGCCCCTCCCCAGCCTAAGCCTCTGTGCCGGGCTGTGGGAAGGGGAGGGGAGCCCGGCCCCGTGTGGGACCAGCCTCAGCCTGCCTGTCCCTGCAGTGGAGGAGTGTCAGCTGGACGAGGACAGCCTGCTGGTCCCCATCGCCGTGGGCGGCGCCCTGGCTGGGCTGGTCCTCGTCGTCCTCATCGCCTACCTCATCGGCAGGAAGAGGAGCCACGCCGGCTACCAGACCATTTAGCGCAGCCACGCCGAGCACCCAGCTGCCACTGCAGGGCCACTGCAGGCGCCCTGAGTGTGGGTTTGTGTTGAGTGGGGCACACTTTTCTGCAAACTGGTTTTCAGATCTGCTTTATCCAATGTGAAGTTCATCCTGCAACATTTACTATGCACAAAATGGTAATTGGAAATGATGGTGTTAATTTTGCTAACTGGGTTATGTATTTTGCTAACTGGTTAATAAATGTTAATATTTACCAAAGTAGAACTTTAAGTGGGGAGGGTCGGAGCACTTTTCTGGATCGGCGCTGGCTCCACTCATTTGGCTTCTCAAGATTCTGGTGTTTGGTTTATTCATGATTGGCTCAGATTCAAGCCTTACCAAGGGGGTCTCTGCTCTTGACACGGGCTGGGGAAGGCCAGCGAGCTGCTAGGCTGACGCGCTGAAGAAGCTGGTAGAAAGAGGTGGCAGCCCAAGTGCTCCAGAGGATGAGTCTGGACGGGCCTGTCAGCGTGTGCCGCGGCTCCCAGGCGCCCAGTCCTGTGGTCTTGCCCTGCTCTGTAGCTCACTCTAGAGCTGGTACTTTTTAAAATAGAAAGTGGGTGTTATTTTTATTTACTGTTTTGTAAAGTGATTCCGTCTTCTGTCTGAGGTTCGGGTGAATGTTTCTGCACTTGCGCAGTGATCAGTCTCTGACTTGTCGCTTGCAGCTCAGGTGGGGGTCCCTCCATGGAACTTGTTTCTATAACAATGCTAATAAAATGTCTGTCTGTCTGTCTAGACCGCATGTGTTTGTCTACTCGCATTACAAGGTCGCAGTGGCATGCACAGTGGAGGGGCGTGTGCGTGAGCGGGCGGGGTGGTTGGCAGCCTGCCTTCAGGAGCGGGTGTCGCCGGCCAGCCGTCCCGTGGTGACTTGAGGACACAAGCTGAGCTGAGGCTGGTCTGCAGTTGTGCTGCGGTGGCCACGGTCTCCAGGTTCTCCCACCCCGTGCAGCGGCAGATGGGAGCAGGGTGGCTCAGGCTTCACCCGGTGTGGAACCTGTGCTCTGGGGACCAGAGTGCCCTGCAGGGGACCCTGATTGGGTGCTCCAGGAAGGCGATGGGGGGCCCACTGGCTGTGCTTAGAGCAGGAACTTGACCTGAGTTTTCAGTTCATCTTTGCCTTGTAAGCAAAGACCTGTGCCCTCTGAGGACCAGCATGCCTTCGTGTGGGGCCGTGGGAGCCTGCCTGCTGGGCGGCCGTGCTGGGAGGTGCACGCCCACCGTCCCCACCCCAGGGCCCCGCCGTCCGCACAGCAGGAGACTCACTCCAGGGTGAGGTGGCCGAGTGCGGTCCCCAGCCAGGACTGTAGAGCAAGGCTGCGTGAGGGATGGGGAAGTGGAGCGGGGCTGTGGTCGCCGGCAGACTGAAAGCTTCATTCGGGGGGTGAGGCTGTGGCCACAGAGGTGCTGACGGTGACAGTGGTACAGACACAGGGTGAGGAGATGTTGGGGAATGGAAAGGCCCTCAGGAGAAACCAAGGGTTGTTTACAGGCGACATTCCTGAGTGGAGCGGGCTCCTTGGGGCTGCTGGGGGCAGGCAGGGGTGTGGGCTGCCCAGGTGTCCTGCGTGTCCCCATTCTGGGCCTCGCCTGC